AYTTMTGATTTCAAAATAAAATCCACGTGTATCGTGTGTGTACACATATGCTTCATGCTACGTTTCCATCTGCTTCCCAAACAGAACGATACATTCTGACAGCACTTGTGTAGAAATATATCCGTATATTTATTAATACAGCTGCAATTTCGACATTATTCCGACAAATTATTCTGCCGAATAGTGTCTTATTTTGAAAATTCGGATGTTGTGCTCATTTTTTTTTTCCTGTTGGTGCCACGTAATCTTTAAAAATTGACTCCGGCGCGGCTCCGGCATCCGTCAAAAATAGGATCGAATYTAATTTTGACGGATCGCCGTCCGCTCACCGCCGCCGTGCGCAGCCAGTGTAAACACTCTCATTGATTATAATGGGTGTGTATTTGCTGTGGAGGTCGGAGCGGAGCGGAGACGGAACGCATGTAATGTAAATTGGGGGTAAATGTTTGTTGTTAATGAGTAATTGCAATTTCATTTTAAAAAAGTCTTGGCTGCTAAAATGAATGTGAAAGTAGTTAAAGTCAAATGTAAAAGAAAAGCAAAAGGAGAAGAACGAAAAAGCAAATACAACTAGCCAATCAGTGTTTACGCTTGAGAAAAACCTACCGAAAGGCTGACTTTGAGTCTGCAGGAACACCTTCTCAAATGACTCGATTAGCTATCTGTCACACAACCTAAAAAGGCTATTTCCTGATACCTTTTTCCAAATATTGCAGAAGCCGTTTCAGTTCAATGCTATGTTACATTCATCATAGATTGCAAGGATTCTAATCTGAAATCACTTGTGAGACAGTTTACACTGAGGTTAAAAGTACAACTTCCATATGGTATTTCCTTGAGTGAATCACTTTGGGCATGCTACACGCACGTCTAAACATGGCTAAGTGCAATTAACAGATGGATGTTTGACAAAGTCCATCTGGCTGTGAGGAGAACGACATTAACTTGAGTGGCTGTTGAAATCTGCAGGGTTCTTTATAGCAGGAAACTTGATGCATTTGAAGTCAAACGGGAAATCAGAATTCCAAAATCTATGGCAGCAGGGGAGAAAAAAACAAAACAATACCAAAAAATTATAAAAGTCAGTAAGAAGTTGGCTTTCCTGGAGGGTAAAAATAAATAAATAAATAAAACCTACACAAAGTGCCAGCAGAGCATTATTCGCTCACTTCCTTCTCAAGTGAAGTTCAACTTTTGATGAGAAATTGCTGTTGCTGCAAATCCGAAGGGGTTCAGACAGGATTGTGTTTTTAATCACTCAAAGCTTTAAAAGGCGGGATTATGTGTACAATAAAACACCTTTTAAAGGGCAAAGGTAATTATGTCCTTTCAACACAACAGAGCTGATGTCTGATGTTATGTCACCTGCCTGCATCAGACGTCTAATAGCTTCAGTGTCACTGATGTCTTTTTCTTCTTAGGTCACAGTAAAAACTTGGTTCAGATGTTGATTAGAACCCCACATTTCCACCATACCTTAAAACGCAACCTTCAGTGAAACGTTTAATTGCAGCAGGCGTCATAAAATCAGTCAAACAGAACTAATCTGGATTATTAGCTGCCAGCCGCAGCTGTCACGAATTTACACTTCCAAGATTAAGAGCTAAATATCTTCTGTGAAGCAACATAACTGTGGCGTTGTTAAAAAAAAAGAGTTTGCGTTCCATTTGATAGATTTTATAGTCTTTGTGTCTGCTTCAACTAGACATAAACATCTGTGAGGAAAGGAGGAGGGAATATTACCGAGATCTCATTAAGAGATGAATAAAAAAAGCATTTTAAAGATATCACAGTGTTGCCCAAAACAAACGTGATCTTTATCGGCATCATTTCTGTGGCTTTTAAACAATGAGGCTCCATTACCGCGGACGGAGCTGGAGCAACACAGAGGGCTGAGCAAACAGAAAAGAGCTCGAAAACCTTTCGCACAACAAACACAAGATGAGCAGCCTCTAATGTGAGATAAAAGTATAATTATTGGATGCGTGTGCAAAAAAACCCAGATAGCGTTCAAGACCACTTTTTGTACAACTCTTTCAATAACTCAGCATGATGAAAACCTCACAAGACAAGATGAGCGCTACGACAAATGTCCTCAGGAGAGAGAGCACGCTGCGTTTCATGTTCAGACGTTTTTATCATCTATTGGAGGGAACAGAGCAGGAACATTTCTAATACTTACAACGTTGTGGGAGTTTTATACAGAATGGGCATTAGTGTTTCTGTCCGTGTCAAGGTGAGTAGAGGAGGGCAGATGACACGAGGGAACTCTATACTTTCTACTACATTTTTAAAAAGGGCATAAAGTTGTTACTTTTAGTTAATTTTTGCTTGTTTTTATTCCTATTGTTATTAAAAGAAATACTGTAAAGATAAACTGTGCCTCCTGCATAGAGTGAAGGTAATTGTGGTTGAATGAGACATATAAATATAATATTTTTACACCGTATTAATTTGTACACAATCCATCACAGCTGCACTACACAGATGTTACACTCCAGCAGGACATATCAGACCGATGTGGCCTGAAGATGTATGTCATATATACATATAAATACATACAGTATATACCTGAAACAGCTACATTAGTGCATCCTAATTTTTTAGTGTTAATATTTCAATAGTCATTTAGAAAAAAATTTTTGAGGGAGGCCACCTCTCAATAAATATCATTTTGGAAAATCACTCATTTTTACTCAGTACTTTTACTTTTAATACTTAAGTACATTTTGTCAGAAATTTACTTCTGATACTTAAGTACAAAAATTATCAGATACTTTAAGACTTTTACTCAAGTAATATACTTAGAGGAGACTTTAACTTTTACAAAGTAATTTTATGGGGATATACTTGTACTTTTACTCGAGTATCCCTTTGCGGTACTTTATACAAGACTGATAAAAGCTTTTGGAACACTGGACCAGCTCTACACCCTCAGCAGGGTCCTGGAGGGTGCATGGGAGTTCGCCCAACCKGTCTACATGTGTTTTGTGGACTTGGAGAAGGCGTTCGACCGTGTCGCAAGGGGGGCCTTGTGGGGGGTTCTCCGGGAGTATGGGGTACCAGGCCCTTTGATACGGGCTGTCAGGTCCTTGTACGACCGGTGTCAGAGTCTGGTYCGCATTGCCGGCAGTAAGTCGGGCTYGTTTCCGGTGAGAGTTGGACTCCGCCAAGGCTGCCCTTTGTCACCGATTCTGTTCATTACTTTCATGGACAGAATTTCTAGGCGCAGCCGAGGTGTTGAGGGGATCCGTTTTGGTGGCCTTAGGATCACATCTCTGCTTTTTTGTGGATGATGTGGTCCTGTTGGCTTCATCGGAACGAGATCTGCAGCTCTCCCTGGAGTGGTTTGCGGGCCAAGTGCGAAGCGGCTGGGATGAGGCTCAGTGCCTCCAAATCCGAGGCCATGGTCTTGAGCCGGAAAAGGGCAGAGTGCCTTCTCCGGGTCAGGGGGGTCGTCCTGCCTCAAGTGGAGGAGTTTAAGTATCTGGGGATCTTGTTCACGAATGGGGGAAGAACAGAGCGGGAGATCGACAGGCGGATTGGCGCAGCGTCTGCTGTAAAGCGGGCGCTGTACCGGTCCGTCATGGTGAAGAGAGAGCTGAGTCAGAAAGCGAAGCTCTCGATTTACCGGTCGATCTACGTTCCTACCCTCATCTATGGTCATGAGCTTTGGGTCATGACCGAAAGAACGAGGTCCTGGATACAAGCGGCCGAAATGGGTTTCCTCCGCAGGGTGGCTGGGCTCTCCCTTAGAGATAGGGTGAGAAGCTCGGTCATCCGGGAGGGACTCAGAGTAGAGCCGCTGCTCCTCCACGTCGAGAGGAGCCAGTTGAGGTGGCTCGGGCATCTGGTAAGGATGCCTCCTGGATGCCTCCCTGGTGAGGTATTCCGGGCACGGCCCAACGGGAGGAGGCCCCGAGGAAGACCCAGGACAYGCTGGAGGGACTATGTCTCTCGGCTGGCCTGGGAACGCCTTGGAGTTCCCCCGGAGGAGCTGGAAGAAGTGGCTGGGGAGAGGGAGGTCTGGGCCTCCCTTCTGAAGCTGCTGCCCCCGCGACCCGACCCCGGATAGGCGGAGGAAAATGGATGGATGGATGGATGGATGATAAAAGCTTATTAAATTTAATTTATTGTTTTGCAATCAAAAGGACATAGTAAGAACTACTTTTTCACACTTCTTCTTCCATCTATTAATTAAAAATCGATCTAATATTAGGAACTAAAATATTGTGATATTTCAGTGTAACTATACTTTCTTACACCCCTACAAAAAATAGGTATCTTGTGATTTTGTTTATCTAAATTCTTCATCGGGCAGGAGGTCCTGAATAAAATATAATGTTGATGTTTTCTAGCATATTTCTCAACAGATTTAGTTCTCAGACAAACACGGGTCTTGGGAAAACCGTGTGGATTCCGAACATTTTACTCCATAAATACGATGAAAAAAATATGTCGGGCAGACCACAAATTGGAAAGATTCTTCTTGTTCTTTAAATGTTTCAGCGTGTTTTGACATGTGTATGTCATTTACTGAATACATCCAAACCTTCCAAAGAAACTTTAGATGTTTGCCGCTGATATACTGTATAAATAACCATTTTCCATAAAGTCCAAGAGTTTATTATTAGGTGGTTGTTTAATCAGAATTTGTGAGTATAACCTTATAGGTAGCTTGTACATTTTTTAGGAAAACAAAAACACACATAACTGCTTCCACTTCAGCACTTTTGATTAAAAGCTTCCATTAAGAGAATGAACGTAAAGCCGTTTCTTTCACGCTACGCAGCCTTTACTTTCCTCGCCAAGTTCCCCATATGTGAAGTAGATTACAGCCTCTCTTTCCCCTCCTTCTTCCAGCCCCTTTCCCCATTACAAAGAAAGAAATCATTCAGTTCCAGCCTTTTTTTTTCTACAAACACCCCCTTTTCCTTCTGAAACCCCTCCCAACAGCAGCCGGAGGCGTACAGACAGACACACTCTCCAGCCAAACCCTGATTGTGTTTGCGTGTGTCATTTTTTTTCTCTCTCTCTTTCTCTCTCTCTGTCATGAAGACAAAAACTGGCTGAGTTTTTGGTCTCTTTTCTTTTCTAAATGGTTCTCTTGAAGTTTCTGAGCTGATTTATTTTGGACTTAAAAAGCAGAAGTGGCAGAAAAGTGTGACAAAGTTAGAGAAGGTGGGTAAGTTTTATGCATGCAGATTGATAATATTTGAGTTGAACTTTTTTTTAGCTCCTGCTCATTGTTATTTTCAGGCAATTTGTCTTTATCAAATACAGTAACAAGTGTTTGGGTAAAAGATACAGTTATTGATGATGATGTGTTTAATTTTGTTTTATTTTCCCAAAGGGGTTTATGCCTGCATGGGTAAAATGAAGCTTTTCTGTATACAGTGTTCATGCAAAAGTTTGGACACCTTAAAATCTGGTACCTATTGCTCCTTTAAACAGCTGCTTATTGTTTTAACAGTTGCAAGAATTAATGCCCAAATAGAAGTACAACCCCTGCAAAGTAAATAAAATAATCAGTTCAGTATATGGTTCAATTAGTAGTTTGAATTTGTCACAGAAATGACACAAAAATTTGACTGTTGGGAAAAAATGGATTTGTGAAGTAAAGCGCCTCTACAGTGAAAACTCATTTCTTATTCCATCAATCAAAAGCAAGCTTGCTGATATTGTAGCAAATAAATATCAATGAAATTAACAATTTATGCCATAAATAAAAACTGGTATTTTTTAGAAAAGGGCCGTTTAAATAAGACAGTCACAGCCTGGTTTTTTTTTTTTTTTGTTTGTTTGTTTTTTGTGGGGGGGTTTTGTGTGTGTTTTTACATCCAGCCTCAAAAAGAAAGTGACTGTAAGAGTTTTCCTTCTGTTTGACTTGACAAAGCTTGGTAATTATTACAAAAAATGTCTTGTTTTGATGCGTTTAAAAGAAAACATCCTGAACAATTCGTAGAATAGAGGGGCAAATTAAAATCTTATTTATTGGGAAAAAAAGAGAAAATTTGCAAATGAAAATCTAAAGAAGTTTTTTGCATATGGAAACCAAATAAATAAATACTTTATTTCTTTATTTTGAACTGGTTAAAACAGCCTTACAGAACAAAATAGTTATGGAAGAGTTAAAACGGAACTACTTTGTGAATAAAAATAAACACTTCTCCCACTGTTAGGCTCAGGGAAGGATTAATCATGTTTGAGTTTTTGTTACAAAAAACTCATTGAAAATTTTCATTAGAACTGATTTATTTAAAAAAAACTGCACTTCATAAGAGGTCACACTGAGTGCCAAATTCTAAAGAGCAATCAATAAAGTATTATCAATCAATCAATTATTAATTAATAAACAGACAATAATCCCTACAAGAATGAAAATACTATATTTTTTACTTAGTTTTCATTTCACTGTAATTTAGAAACAGGTGAAGAATCAAATCCACACTGCTTTGTTTTCTTTCACATTTCAAATTCACCTTGCCATCCAACCGTTTAGCAGAACTGATTCAGCGACACGTCTGCTTTCTTGCCAGAGACCTTGTTGTTACTGCGGTGCTGAGGCAAATGTGCTGTGACAGCTGTGAAACACACCTGTTCAGGCTTTGACGAGGAGAGCCACGGAGCTGAACGGCAGTCACCCTTCAGACGCTCGCATTAGATGCTAATCACAGGTAAGGAGGAAGACGATGGCAGCCAGGAGTGTTTCTGTCTATGTGTCAAGGATTAATTCAGACTAATGCTTAAGGATATAATAGTTTCATCTGATGACTTTTAGAGATGTAACAAGTTTTAAGCAACTTAACTTGAAACTTCTTAGGTATTTGTCTTCCATGCCATAATTTAGGGTAATTAAATGCTGGTGGTGCTCAGAAGAAATTTTGGTATCAACTAGTTGAATACACTGCGAAAACTGTCCATCTTATCAAGTTTTAAAATCTTATCCAGCCGAAAAGTATGTTTGATTTTGTTTTGAGACTGATTTACTAAACAAGAACTGATTGTGTAAGAATAATAATCTTGTTTTCAGAATGTGTAAGGTTGTTAGTCTGAAAATTTGACTCAAATTAAGTCAAAAATTCCTGCCAATGGAGTAAGAAAAATTTACTTGGTAAGATTCTTGAAATAAGAAAAAATTGAGTCAAATAAGTATTTCAGGAATCTTACCAAATAAATATTTCTTACTCCATTGGCAGAAATTTTTGACATAATTTGAGTCAGATTTTCAGACTAACAAGACAAATAATCTTACACATTCTGAAAACAAGACTATTATTCTTACACAATCAGTTCTTGTTTAGTAAATCAGTCTCAAAACAAGATCAAAAAGACTTTTTGGCTGATATAAGATTTTAAAACTTGGTTAGGTGGACATTTTTTGCAGTGTAAACTAGTTAACCATTACAAGAGGAAATGTAGAGTAAAGCTAAAAAGCAGATAACCAAAAGCATGAGTTGGTCAAACACATCACATTGGCTCTAAATGGAATCAACATCAGACAATATTTCGAGAACCCCTGAGAAAACTGGTCCTCAGTGTCAGTAAAGTCTATAACAAAGGGTGAACAACAGGAGGGAAATACGTATTCAGTTGTTGCTGGGCAGACAAAGAGCCAAGACAAAAGTGTATGCGATGCTGTTCTCAGCAATAAATGCAAGGAAACATCCACTCTTAAACCAGACCCTTCATCTGAGGTTAATGTCACAAGTTTGGCCAGTTAGCTCATTTGTTTCAGATATAAATAGAAGCTTGTATTGCTGTTTAGCTTAGTAACACGTTTGTGAATGCAGTCGCAGTCTAAAGTTTGAAAACTTCTGCACTAAAAGTTACTTTTCCTTTGCTGCAGTTTCAAGCCAGGGAAAAGGACTATAAAAGTCACTTCAGTGTGACGGATCCTTCCCAGTAAAGCCAAAAAACAGTCTCCACAGGCCCCAGAAAGTCCAACACAAACATTGTCTCAGCTAAAACCATAAAACACCAGCATTCCAACTCTGAAAACATTTTTCAAAGGCAACTGCTCGTGACAGTAAAACATGGACGAGCATGTGTTGCTCTAGTTAGAAGACCTTAATAAATCGGAAACAATGTCAGTGAATGTCTACTGACAACTCTGATATTGTATTTAAAATCTACTGGCTGCATTTTGTCATCGGGATGAATGTTGTCAAAGGATCAGAGTGCAGATCTAGATCACCGACAAACATTCATCAGTAAATTATCAAAGTAATCAAAACACAAAGCACGGATTCCCTCATAAAACAATCCTGAATATTAGGTTTATAAATGTTTGTGGTGGGGTGAAATGTCAGTTTCAATGATAACGACATTGCTCATGGTGTAAATCCACATTTTAATTAAAATACATGAAAGTGCAGCTATCAGTTGCAATGTGAAGAACGTATCTGCCAAACCATTTTATGATCAGAGTAGTAGACTTTATGAGTACCACTCAGGATTTCTTTGGTGGAGTTGAGCCTAATAAAAGATAAAAACCAATCTGGAGCTATAGTCTGATGCCATTTTCTATCCTAAGCATTTGTGGAGTTCCACCATGGGCAACTTACTGTCTTATGAATGGACGGATCAAAGGATTTAACATTTCTATTGTAAAGGGTTATCTATGTATAGATTGGTCTAAAAGTTGACCACAGACAGACAAATGGACAAACAGATGAAAGATGCCATGCCCTAATACGTCTCATTTTAGGATGGGCACACAAAAGTGCTTAAAGTCATTCATGGACGTTAACTGATACAGATCTGTGCACATGTGTCACTTCTGGAAAACTCATTAAATCTGTTTCATTCCAGAGGTGATGTAAGCCTGTCCGCTACAATGCACATGCCAGTCAAAAGAAAGCAACACTGTTACCCAAACATAAGGATAAAGGCTCGTTAAAGCCTAATTTGAAGGCTTCATCTCATTACAGTGCATGTGTCACCATTTAAAGAGGCCACAAACAGAGCAAGCCAACAGTTGGGTTGCACTGTGGGTTTTCACTTCACATGACAAGTCATCTTAAAATAAACAGTTTTACAGTCTCTGTTTGGCACTCATGCATGAACAAGACAAAGGTAAAAAGCCAATTTAACATTTGCCTTCAGCTTTTGAAGCGTTTCAAAATAGTTGATGTAAAAGTGAATTGCAGTTGAAACTAAATGTGCTCTGACAGCAGAAAGAACTCCTTCACGGTGCAAGCTTTAGAAAACTTTTCCAGTCAGAGAACTTAGAAAAAAGAACCTATAGATGCTGACACTATTTCACTGGGAACTGCAACCAAACCCATCCACCCCCTCCGTGTGATGTGAGCTTAAACCTCTTTTTTCATGCTCTGTCAGTATTTACAAAAAAGTTACAAAAGATTCCCCCAAAGAACCACAAGTTATCAAAAACAAAACAGATGCTGTAGCAAGAAGACGGGACACGGACCAGAAACAAGCAAAACTGATGCAATTTTATTCAGTATTTTAACAGCAGGAAAGATGCAAAACAATTAAAGGGATCCATGATTAACATTAGATTTTATTTAATAAACATATACTGTATTTTAACTGTAAAATAAAGACTGTAAAAATACTGTAGGATGTTCATGTTGTATCATTTTTAAACTAAAGGTTTAAAAATATATTACATGGATGGGGCCATTTTATTTACAAGCAAAGCATTCTGGGTAAATGATGACATAGATAGGTCATCGGTGCGAGGGTGCTAGTGAGCTACATCCACACTGAAGGTTAATCTT